ATTAACTATTGAAAACAGCCTGCATGCACAGCACGAGAGTAAAAGACTCTCACAAAGCAGTCCTCTTTAGTGCAATTATTGTAGGAAGAATAAAACATGAAACCACAAAATCAAATGAAACAAATGAAAGAAATGTGGTTGATTGATTCGATAAATCTCAAGGGTCTCGGGATTCCACCACCTCCATTAAAGAAATAGCACATGAATCCAATAACCCACCACCAATCCTCTCTCCCACCTCCGCTGCCGTCGCCTTCACGAGTCTACCGTGCATCGAGTCCCGCTTCTTATTGAGTGATTTTTCGATGTCTTCAGAACACAGATACGTATATCATATATCACTGTATAAGTGGACGAAAATTTATTTTAAGTGTTCTTTACTTGTATAATGATATATAAAGTATGTGTCCGTGTTTTGAGAATACTGAAAAATCTCTCAGTCCGTTTCCTTTCCCATTTCCCTTGGCCTTGGATACAGGGAATATGGATCTTCCTTTGACTTAAAACCACAATTTCATATTAGGCATTAATCTACTTGAAAACTCTGAGACTTTTGCCAACCATTACACGCAAATGTAGGAGTAGGGCAACCGAGTGTCCCCAAACCCACCATTTTTAATCCCATTAAAACAAGGGAGGCCCCTTTTTCTTCGTCTTCACGTCAACTCATTCTCACTCGTCTTCACGGAAATATAGAAACAAAAGGACAACCAAAATCAAGTCATTTGGGTGTATTTTATAAGTTTTGTTTCATTATTAGCCTTGTTAAATTTATTCGCTTAAACTTGCTCATTTGGAAGTAACTGATAGTGATTTCACAACGAGCTTAGATTGTGCTGTTTACGATATCATTCACATGTGTTCGTGAGCGATTGTCAGTCGTTGATACATTGTGAGACTTATTTGCATCAACTATAACATTACTAAACCAAACATCAACACATAAAATTTAGCGAGTATAGCGTTACTTGTAAAAAATTTGCTAACATAATAATGCACAAGACTTATATTAGCATCTTATCTGTTGACTACAGACATAGTTAATGGTGAGCCCAAATTTTAATAAATCGAAAAGTTGGGGTAGCAACTAACATTCTTACGCGTTAATAACCGTTTTATATTGATTCTTGTAACGCTCACTTACATGCATCAACAACTGACACTCATTCATAATACGCACATAATTGTATTTGACATGACATATCTCTGACAATAAAAATCTAGTAAGTATAACATTACTCCTCCTCCATTGATATTTTGTGGGTAATTAGTAGTACTTTCAGTCATTTCTTCACTGACTCAATCATATGACCCACTATATCTACCTTTTTAGTTTTCCCTTCTCATCCATCAGTCCCTTCGGATACTTGCACCCTCTCGGCATAATCTCCAATCCAAAATCATGTTCAGTCCCAATAACTCCACCACCAACCCCCTCAAACAACTCGTCGACGCCATCTTTTCATACAACGGCAATGTCATGCTAGCCGCCGTGGTCTCTCTTCTTCTCGTCATTCTCTTCGTCCTCGTCCTCCACATCTACGCCAAGTGGTTCTTAGCTCAAGCCCACCACCGCCGCCGGGGCAGCTCCGTCACCGTATCTCATGTCCTCGGCCCGAACCGCTTCCAGAACTTCCACACCTTCTCATTGGACGCAAACTCGGCCACCATTAGCAATCTTTCGAGCTCTGCTTCATCCAAAGGCCTAGACTCGAAAACCATCTCCGCCATTCCTCTATTCGTGTACAAAACAGAGGAGCTGGAGGAGATGGTGGAGGAGGAAAATTACAAAAATAGGGTTTTGGAGATGGAGTGTGTAATTTGTTTGAGCCTGTTCGAGGACAACGACATGGGAAGGAGTTTGCCGAAATGTGGTCACTGTTTCCATGTCGAGTGTATCGATATGTGGCTGGGTTCTCACACGAACTGCCCAATTTGCCGAGGTCCGATAGCGGTTGATACGACGGCGGAACGGGTTGCCGGTGAAGAGGAATCGGTTGTGATTGATGTTTTGGATTCTGGGTATGTTTCAAATTGTGATATTGTTCATGTTGGAGCGATGGGTACTGAAACCGAATCGACACCTTCATCGTCTTCGTCTTCCTCGTCATCATCGCCATTAATGGTGGGGTATTCATTGAAGAGAATGCTGAGCAGAAATAGGCCGGAAAGTGGCAAGGTTTTCCCAACTACAAATGGGAGTGATCAAACAGATGCCTGAGAAACTGTCTTGTGTTTTAACTTTTTTACGTGACAGTGCATGATTGGCTTTTGATAATGTTACAATGTCATTCCCGTCGCGTGAAAGTTCTCATCGAGAATCAGAGATTAGAGAGAACTGGGGTTCTGGGGTTTGGTTGTAAACCAAATTTGTATAGATTTCTTGCAAGTAATACATCGAATCTTTAGTGTTGTATTTTTGGTGCGTATCAGAAATGCCTTTTGTTGACGTGAGTTGTTCATACCTCTCTGGTTGTTATTATTTTTCTGATGCGACTTTTGCTGAAAAATTTGGGTCGGTTTTGATATGAAAAGGCATGGATCAAGGATTTTGGATGTGACATATACAAATAGTGTGTAGTTGAGTGGGGTAACAAAACAAGGATGCCAATTTGCAGTTTTCGGGCACAATTCTGCAGTGAAAAGGAGACCATTGGAAAACTTTAAGCTTAGATTAGTCTCGTGTTTGTAATCCACTTTGTATTTGTAAGGAGTCATCAATTAGCACACAAAAAAATAAAAAGAGTAACGTGGTAAAACTTGGTACTAGTTTGATGCCGTTAGCGGTTGAACTAGGGGGAAAACTTCAAGACAGGCGTCCAGACTATGAGTTTTTTCTGTTAGCCCGAATACTTTTGGTGTTTGGGTACACAAAATACGCAATAGAACTCACATCAGCTTCTACACAATCAGTGGTATTACAGCCTACACTGTACTCAAAGATTTAGAGTATTTTGAAAGATTTGCTAAAGCAGTAGGATGTTAAAATGTATTGGGAGGAGAGTGTTCCACCTAGAGGTAAGCATCAGCGAGTAGCGGTGAACTTTGTCAGCTTAAGTAACGCAAATATTGGTGAGATTCCAATCCCCCAAACCCACATACTTCTCTGCTCCACCACAAAGAGTGAGTCAAGGCCTAAGATCAAGCCAAAAGACTTGTCGACGAACAACAAGTGAATATTCTAGCTGACCTTAAGCTTGTTCATGGGACGAAAGAGGCTAGGTTAGCCAAAAGGCAGTTATTGGTAAGTTAATGGGTTTATATTAAATCACAACTACGTTAATTAAGAAAATAAGTTAGAATTAGAATAGGTTCAGAGTTCGATTCTCTTCATCGTAATAAAAATAATCTAAACATTGGAATCATGAGATGATGTTAAACTTTTTAAAAAGAAAGAGATGATGTTAAACTAGAGTCATGGAGTTGTGAGTTTGAACAAAGTCAAATTAAACTTACAGTGTTTCAATAGACATTTTTGGGTGATTCGGAGTATTGAGTATCCAAGTGTTTTAACCGATTTTAATTTTTTTTTTTTTTTTAAAGTTAAAACAACCGAAGTACTGGATACTTCCTAACACACAAAAAAAAGTACCATGTTTCAAACATGTAATCCAAAATTCGGATTGGAGCCCTTAGATATGTAACTAGTTTGTAGGCATTACCGATAGTAGACGGGCAATGTAGAGGGACTCATGTCCTTGACTGGAGACTGGAGAGGCCCTGTGCGTGACGAAGACAAGAGGGGTGCTGTCAAGTGGTTCGTCCATGATTTCTGGTCAATGTTTTGGACCATTGTTTTCGCATATATGTGTGAAGGAAGAATAGTCAAGAACAAACTCTTGTGAAATTGTGATGGTGGCTCACTGTATGCTCTATGCTCTTACATTTAATACATATCTTTGCCTGGATTTCGGGTCCAGCTGCATTAATTTTTGTACATTGTCCTTGTTTTTTGGATCAATCATGTTTTTTATTCTACCTTTTTTAATGTTGGAAAAAAGAGATATCACTAAATTAATAACTAAACCAGTGAAACATTTTTTAAATTTTATGAAAGGATGATAATAAATTAAGTGAGTCGAACTAAACATAACACTTGGTCGTTAGGCTACAATAGTAGTGGCATTCCTCTCTAAACCCGCACAAGACGAATAGAAAAACCAAGACCCCAAGTTTAGCCATCAATTACAATAAACTACTTTTTTCCCGGCTCAGAACAATAAGGTGGTTAAGTTAGGACAATATAAATATTGTTGTTGGTTGACCAAATGGACCTAAAAAGTTCTCACTTTACTTTATCACTGCCAACGGATTTGTTTATAACTTCATATATAATCAGAGACTCCTTTCTGACAAAGACTACATACTCAATTAAGCTTTTTTCCTTTCCTTATAAACGATAAGACAATTAGTACTAAGTTTATCTAAATTACGAAGAGAACTATTTGAATAAGATTTATACGTACTGTAAAGCGTAAAGATGGGTGATAAGATCACATCTTGGAAAATCTGAATAGACAAGAACCGAGAGGCATGGTAAGGCCTTGGATTCTCAGAAGTATGGCCCTTGTTTAGTAACCAAATTGGTCCTTGGGCAAGTGAAACTCTATTTCGGCTCATTTTCAGATTTTGAAGAGATACTCAAAGAAGATTAATTTCATCATTCTCTTCGAAGTAGTCATTTCTACCTTTATATTTACGTAACATAAACATATAAGTTTATATTTGTGTGTCAAACTGCGTATAATAAGCTAATATATATAAAATACATACATAAAGTATTGACTTTGAGAAGCCATTGACATGATCAAAGTTGAACGACGAACTAGAAACGATCTTTCCCTTTTCTACACGCCTTATGCACTTCTAGTATGGGGTAGGGATTTGTGCTACGGTTTGTACGAGAGGAGGAGGGGGAGAAATGAGTCTTGTTGGCTTGAGATCGTCCTTTTTATAAGTGAAAATTTATGAGATAAAATTCGATAAGGAGGTCATATTAACTAAAGAGAGTTGATGACTCGGAAGGATAATCTACAAAGCGGGCAGCTTGACTGAACGGTCAGCCACTTATCTACATACTCAGAATGATATGTATCTTGGCACTTTGGCAACACCTTAACCTTCTCTTCTCCTTCAAAAACTCCAAGACAAATGCAAAACTCGATACCAATGGCTTCAACATCAAGAACAGTACTAGGGTTAGCTATTACCACCGATCGATGCAAGATAACCGGCAAGCTATCAATGGCAGCAGCATCGAGCCCTAGCGACTGATGCACTTGTGGCAAAGATGCAATATTTGTAGCACTAGCGGTGGCTGTTGAGAGACGACCTTTGATGCAAGCCCAATGAGCATAGAAGAATAGGGTGGCGATGATGAAGATCAGAGAGAAGAAGAGGACTAGTAAGTGGCCTTGGCTGTAGGTGTGAAAGTCAGAGTAGTTGAGATCACTGAAATGCCGCTCAAAGAGTTGTGAGTTTTCGGATGCCATTAAAGTTGTAAAGGAGGTTTTGACGAGCCTTTGGTGGGTTCTCTTGGGTTTAAATGGTGGTATTGGTGTGGGTTCTGACGGCGAGGGCCGTGTGTTTTGCTACTCTTCAAGCATGTTCGAGAGTACTTTTGTAGCAGAATATGGTCACAAGCACTTTTGATGGAAGCACTTTTATCAGTTATCTAAAAATAATTGCCAAACATAAGAAAAACTTGCATGAAATAGAATGACATGTCAGGTATCCAGTTCTGGCGATATAGGCTAGTTTAATTATAAATATGGGCTGTCAGTTCGGGCGTTAGGTAGTTGTGAGCATTTGTGTTAGTGCAACTTCTCAATATTGAACTACTTGCATGTCCTACTTATGTGTTACGTGAGTCATAGATGAGTGGATATATTGGCACTTTTGTGTGCTTTCACTTCAAGCTCTTTTTGTTTTTCTTTTTATGCATTGAATAATGTTATTTAGGCACAAAAAATTGATCGCTTTCGTGATACATGATACTATTTCCTACTTTGAGCTTCGTTGTGAATCGATTATTACTTTAGCCAAAAATGAGAAAGAGGATTTGTAATGGCAAAGCCACAACATCGCAAGGAGGTGCAACCGCACCTCCGGTCATCAGAATCCTCATGAAAAGCGAGGAATCCGCCACTATAGACATGCACGGAAGGGTTGAGTGGTTCTTGTTCATGAGATTAAGACGAGTTGAATCGACTGAGGGTGGTGGCAGAGATCGGATCCGCCGAAAAATGCAAAGCCACAACATCGCAAGGAGGTGCAACCGCACCTCCGGTCATCAGAATCCTCATGAAAAGCGAGGAATCTGCCACTATAGACATGCACGGAAGGGTTGAGTGGTTCTTGTTCATGAGATTAAGACGAGTTGAATCGACTGAGGGTGGTGGCAGAGATCGGATCCGCCGAAAAATGCACATGAAAAATCTGCAGAAAACCTAGTCGAGATGCAGGGAACCGGGTCGTCGGGTCGGCCTCACAGGTTGGACTTTCCAGGAATGTTAAGGCTCCTCTAGCTTTGGTGGAGCTACTATATACAGAAGGTCCAAAAGACCAATTTGCTCATGTCTTTGTTCGCTTAGGCCATCTCCAACCGATGGCTGGTCAGAGGGCTCGTTTTAGCCCTCTGGCCCTCCAAGATTCTCCAAGATATTAATATTTTAATGAACAGTACATGGTCATATTTGCCTCCGTCTCCAACCGAGGGCTCGTTTTAGCCCTGTCACAAAAAATCGTCTCCAACTGAGGGTCATAGGGCCAAACATAATTTATTATTTAAATTTAAAAACTACAACAACTTAAATTTAAAAACAACAACTTATATTTAAAAACTACAACTACAATTTAAAAACGACAAATTAAATTTAAAAACTACAAATTAAATTTGAAAACAACATTAACTTAAATTTAAAAACTACAATAACTTAAATTTAATATCTATAATCAACATCATCTTCTTCATCATCCACCATCGTAGGAGTATAGTCAGAGGTAAACAACTGCCGTCGGCTCATAATTTCTTTTTTTTTTTTTCTATCAAAACAGGCCTTACTCATTGGAGTGTAATTCGATGTGTTCATTTCCATATTCTTATCATCCATCTCTTCTTGTATTTGTTTGGCCCGTTCTTCATGCCTACATTTCCTTTCTTCCGCCTCAAGGGCATTTTGCTCCGCCAATAATCGCAATGAGGCCGTCACTTTATGTTGAGCAGCGTAATCATTATTTGCCTTGCCCTTTTCCTTCAACCTTCGCGCCTTGTTTCGTCCCATAGCCCTAGGTATGGAACCTTACCCGAAGACAAATTTTCTACCCTTGTTTGTTGAATGGTTGAAGATCCATCTTCATTCATATCTACAGTTGAGGATGTAGTTCCGAACACTGGTGTAGGAGCTCTCTGTGGTGGATCTTCAAATAACACCCACCCTTTACAAATTTCCCAACAACTGTGAAACCGAAAGGGTTTCGAGTTGTTCTCCATATACAATTCCTCTGCTTGGTGTACCTAGAAAAAAATTAAAGGAAATTAATTTATGAAATTAAATGCAATATAATTAAATATTTAAAATAAATTGTGAAAACACTTACTTCGTTGTAGTAATTAGCGCCGCTTTCATGTCTACTTGCGGCTGCTAACAATGCTTGATGCCATTTGTTCAAACTTGGCTGAAGATGTTTCTTCCATCTTGAAGAACAACTGTTGTGATTTCGAATATTCACTAGAGTGGTGCCTTCATAGAACTCTAAGTATTTTTTGGACACACGAGTCCAAACACCGTGATTTGTTTGACAATTCTCCCTCACACTATCTTTTGACACCCATCTATAAGCCTTGCAAAGAGCTTCATCTTCTTTTCGGGTCCAAGCCCTACCTTTCATTGCAGACGAGGCCATTTGAAAATTGTTAAAAAAATTGAAGGATATATTTTTGAAAGAGGAAGGAAAATATGAGAATTGAAATGGTGTAGGAATGGTGAAAATTTTGTGAGGAATGGTGAATGAATGGTTTAGGTATTTATAGGAAAAAAAAAATAGAATTTTTGAGAATTAAAAAAAAAAAGGCCCCAAAAATCTAAAAAAAAAAAAATTGAAACCAACGGTAACTGGCGCCAGCTAGCCGTTGGATTCAAAATTTTGAATAAGAAATCGTGTCGGTTAGAACTGACAAGAATACATTTATTATATTTAACCGACAGGATTATGTGGTTTCTGGCTAGCCCTCTAGCCCTCTCCGATCCTGTGGGGCCCTCCCAGATTCCAGAGCCCTCTGGCCTAGCCCTCGGTTGGAGACGGTTTTCGGGCTATTTTCGGCCCTCTGGGCCCTTCGGTTGGAGATGACCTTATCTCCTTCATTACAACTCTATTTCGCGAATGGTTTTCGCTTACGTGTTTGTGGGATCAAGCTCCATCGGAAAATATTAAGAGTGACCACAAAAGGTCTACGAATTTTAATGACTACTGACGAACAATCGAACTTTGTAACTAGTCAACTAAAATTCTAAAATTATCGAAAATAATAATAATTTCTCTAAAATACGAAATATGAAAATTTGAATATTAAAATTCGAACAGAATTTCACATTTATCTTTTAAATCTCGCCCCTCCCCCGACATCCTGGCCTCGCGGCTGAGGATTTGGAGTTTGTAGGAAAATAAAAAGCCTTCTAACATATATGTATTTAATTTGGTAGTTGGGCCAAGTTCAATGTTAGTTAGAACTTCAAAAGTGCACTTTTTGAGCTCAGTTTAATTCAGAAATGTGGAGGGTCCAAAAAGTTAAAAAAATAAACCAAAATAATTAAGCACGATTGGTCCCGGCGGGGCTCGAACCCGCGACCTTCGGCTCATAAGACCAACGCTCTAACCAACTGAGCTACGGGACCAATTGTCATGTGTTTTTCAAAATTCCTTTATCTATAATGTCGAAGAGGCCATGTACTTTTCATTTAGTTGCATTCCACGTACTTTTCATTTAGTATGAGTAGTTAGATATGACATAGAAGGCAGAAACTAGATATATGGTAAAGTAAAGATAAAGAACGTGGGCCAACGTTTGTTGGCTATTTCTTATTTCTTTTGTCCAAGCGAAAGTGGAAGCGAAAAATCAAGCTCAACGTAAAGATAAATTATTTAATTCACTGAACTACAAGTCTCATTGTAAACTAAATAATTAAGTAACTTCCTTCGCATCATGTTAGTCTAATCTATTTTTGGTAGTGATACTGCTATCCAATCTTCATTTTGTTCAAAAAACGTTTTCCGTTTAATTAGAAGAAAAACAAAATGTATTTGAAACTAATAAATCCAAATTCAAATACTCATTTTCGTTGATAAATAAAAGTTACCTTTTTTTTTTCTTTTCAATTTGATGCGAGAACAACATATATTGTTAATTTTTGGAACCCATCTTATATAACTCATAGAGGTAGAACCCAATCGCCCAATTGATGTTAACATTCTCGATTTCGTTCCTCTACTTCTTCTTACAAAGATCCAAATGGAGATGTGATTACAACAGTGTGCTACTAGGGCAAATTCTATGCCCAAAGGGCAAGGATGGACATGGAGGTAGAGCCAAGAACAAGAGCGATGAACGACGTTTTCCGCAGCCATGAGTTAGAGCTCATCATCTTGTTGTGGAAGAAATCGAGAGCAATGAGATCGACCAGAGCCATGTAGATAAGTATGCCCGAGGAGAAGGAGCCCAACAAACCCTCCAAGATTAGGGCTTTAGGGTTACTATCGTCATAACCTGTCACAGAGAATAAGATCATCCCCAATACTATCCCCATTGGAGTTGTCACTGCAAACATGAAGCACATGTAGGCTGTTGTCCCAAACTTAAATCCTGCCTGCAATTTTCCCAACTCATGTATGTTAGAAGCTAGGTGCATGCAAAAGCACTTTCTTTGTTTGTCACAACATATAGACAATAGTATTCTATTTTAAACTACTCTACGATCTTTACTTTAAGTGAAAGACTTATACGGTACATATATACCTTCATGGTTGTGTCCTGTGTCAATAAAATAAAAATACATATACGTTATGATCTATGTCTTTATTCTTGTTTCAGTATTTAAATCACTTTTAAAACAATTTCAATTTTATGCTCGTTTAGAAGTATTTTTGAGATGACTAAGCTTTTTGTCATAATGTTTTAAAAATCAATTTCGTAATAAAAATCTAAATAGATCCTGAAAAATTACTTTAATTGCTTTATGCAAGAAGCATATATCTAATGCTTCTTCTAAAAACCACTTAATATACTTTTAAAATTCAAATAAATTATACAAAAAATATTTTCAATTATTTTAAAAGCACTTCTAAACTAAATTTAATCGTACCGAAGTATGCTAGAATTTTTAGACAATAACAGCCCAGAGTAGTAGAAGTCAGTCATCGGTGAATAAGTCAAAGGATGTAAATCATTGGGCCCGCAAACATAGAAAAATGTAATAAACAACAAAATCTAAGTCGTCAATATTTATCTCCTAAATTCATTTTATTTTTCTGATTAGAAAGGATAGGGTCAATTGCATCAACTAAATAAGTAAAAAATCAAATTATTAAGATATTTAAATTAATTAAATTTACCTGAGCAATGCATCCTCCGAGTCCCATCCCTTCGAAAATCTGATGAAACGACAGCGCAGCGACCAACGGCCGGATGGTGCACTGGTTCTGCGACATCCCCATCGTCACCCCAATTATCACCGAGTGGAAAATAATCCCGATTTCCAACACCTGCGAAACCAGCCGCTGCTTCATCCGGATCAATATTTCCTCACTACCCCCACCACTATTACTCTCCACACCCACCGCCACCGCCACCTCCACATCCATCGCCAGTTTGCTATTCTTACCCTTCAGATTGCTATTCTTCCCCACCAATTCCTCCCGCGCCCCCACAGGCACCACCTCGTATCCGCCGTGACCGTGGCCACCGACGGCGGAGTGGGACTCCATGTGGGAGGTGGCGGTGAGGTCGACGAGGAGGGCGATTAAAGCGCCGATCATGGTGACGAGCCCCGAGAAGGGGTAGTCCTTCCAGGGGTGGTGGGATGACACGCGGCAGTCGGAGAGGGCGAGGAAGGCGTCGGGGAGGACGTGGACGAGGGACGTGGAGAGGATGACGCCAGCGGCGAAGCACTTGATGACGAGCGTGGCTTTGTCGTACGCGGGCTTGCCTTGGAAGTAGCGGGAGAGGAGGACGGGGGACGATATGCCGACGACGCTGGTGACGAAGATGACGGCGATTGAGATTAGCTTGAGGTGCGCGGCGGCGCGTCCGTCTCGGCAGGAGAGGGACCGAGCCGTGTCCGATACGCAAGACGCCATTTTCCGATATAATCCGATTCGCAAAATTGAACTGACTGTGCGGTGCAGTTTTTTACTCTGCCCTCCTCCACCCCAAAAACCCAAAAGTTCAACTGACTCTGAGGCCGATATAGTTTGTGGACTTCTTGTCTTGCTGGGAAGATCGAGAGAGAGAGAGAGCGAAGGGGAGAGAGAAGGGGAGAGAGATGCTTGTGGGATTGAATTGTGTGGGTCCAGGTTGTGCTGCCCAGCGACTGTACGGTCTCGTAGTCATTTGACAAGGAGGATGGTGGCATGCTGCGGTGGATATCCGTGATTTTCCATTGTTGTCAAGTGTGGAATCGGGATCCGTCCGGAGCTTTGGATCAAAAAAATTTGGACCTTTCGATTTATCTCGAAACGAAATTGGAGTTGTTGAATTCTATGAAGTGGCTAGCCGAATGAGTTAGTGGAACACCGTTGGATTTAATTTGGATGGTCCGGATTTGTTGCTTCTTAAACTCCGAACACTAAGGTTCAGAGTGAATCCAATTCCGTCAAAGTGTGATATGTGTGTGTTTCCACTTCAAATTTTTTTAAGGAAGGAAGTTAATTGCTTTTGTATACTAAAGAGAAAAAAAGAAGAAAAAGTTTTTTTCTGAACAATGAAGAAGAAGAAAAAGTTGGCTACTTTTGTTCTTGTATGGATCGATCGATGGTGAATTGCAATGTGAGTAAAATGTTAACTTTGCTTCGAAAATCTGTACATTAAGTTATGAACTATACGGTTGCTTTTAGACTGTTAGAAGGTAAATCAACGCAAACAAATTGGCAGTTGTTGGAGAGGTCTAAGATCTTCTAAGCACTTTGTGCAAGATTTTCGTATCGAATTTAGGGCACGCTCTTTCAAAAATTGTGGTTCTGTGATGAAACTAGTACAGTATTCTTGACACGGTCATCCGTGCCTTGTGTAAGTGACATATTCAAGATTTTTAATTTCATTGCCTAATTTGTTTTTAATATTTCCATTGATGCATTTAGTCGAGCACTTAGTGAACATATCGTTATCTTTCTAGTTCTATCGATAGTTTTCAAGGCGTGATGTCGAGCATCACTTGCCAAGGCGTGATGCCAAGGATTAGGATTCTTTTCCTTCCTTTTTTCATCCCCTTCCATTTCATCCTCTCATATTCTCTATTTTGTCTTTCTCTTTCTATAATAAATTAATATAAGATGTTGATGTGGCTTAACCGTGACCGTTCAAATAGAAGGGGAGGGAAGGAGAGGGAAAAAGAGAGAGGAGAGAATCCTACTCTTGCTGCCAAACCTTGTCCCAAGGAGTGTGGCTGAGTGTTGTCCCAAGGTTTGTTGTGCATCACTTGTCAAGGCCTGCTGAATTCTATGTAAGAGGCATTTTATTGAACAATTTGTGAGCATTCTAAAGTCTCATACTGAATGGATATAGAATCCTCCGGCGACCTTATACCAATTAAATTCCCAACTTCTTTAGGTCCTGGAACCCATAGGATAAGACCCCTAAATCTGTCACTGCTTATGTTTACATGTGAATAACTTGCTCATGATGGTATTACGTCATTAGCGTCCATCTAACCCAAGGTAACTAACACAAATTTCACAGCGAATACATCTAAATTAGTAACTTTTATTTTCAGTTCAAAATTTTAATTTGGAAACCTTTTTCTTCCCGAAAGAGATGCATCATTTTAAACAAGATGGCCGTATATGAATTCCATTAATTTGTTGAATGAAGACACCTTCCCAACCAAAAATAATACAACAATTTAAAGTGGTGGGGTTGTAATATTGCTTTCAGAAATGCAAGCCAGTCAGCTGATGATACCTCAGCTATGAAAATTGATAAACCATCGCACTTCCTAAATCACTTTAATTTCTTTGTTCAAATAGTGGACGATTTAAAGTAAAGATCTATTTTTTTTATTGTGTTACGGATTTGTAAGTGTCTACCACTAAGTTCAATCATACGGTTTATAATTTTAACTATCTAGGCTCAATAGTTGAGGTAGGTAATGGGTCATTGAACCTTTTTAAGTGTATTTTTGTGGAGAGCATGAATCTCTTACCAAAGAAATAAGGGATTTTGTACATTCTTATAAGTAATTGGGTTACTTCTCATATTGTCAATTAGTTTTGTGGTGGAAACTCAAACTTTTTTTATGGTATCATGACAGGTTGTTCTATGTGTGGAGCCGAACGACCACATGTGCTTCATGTCACACGATTTGTTTTGTACATGTTCTAGGCTTATAAATTCGACACAAGTAATATGGAAAAAAAGAGGGACCTATGTACTTTTAAACTTTAAGTTATTGTATTTATCTTACATCAATCTATTCATCATATAAAAATTCTATGGTGCTCCGAAGTATAGGCCTACTCTTAACTTTTCAGATGTTCTTGATTTTGTATTTTTGACCAAATATCTAACAATTATAAAAGCTGGAGTATCCAATACTTCAAAATATGATGGAAAAAACCATCATCCTATGCTACTTGAGCTTGAGTGCACTTTTTCTTGCATTTGACTTGACGAAATTGAAAGATATAATATTATTATTTCTGAAAGAGAATTGTTTGAAAATTTTCGTTGTGTTTTAGGCTTGAAGAAACAAGAGGGTACATTGCAGGAGTCCAGCAAGTACTAGTCAAATGCCCAGCAATTCCAGCTGAGGAGGATTTCCCTCTCAAAGGCCCAACAACTCAGTTGTCTGGACTATGTAGCAGGTTCTCTGTCAAAGACCTTTGAGACTGGTCTGGTAAAAATTTGGATCAAATCCTGGCCTTTCCAATTCTGGGTCAGTTAGTATTTCTCTCATGTGGACGAAATATGCGAACGAACTATCTTAGTTGACGAAGATGCCGAGGTTATTGGCAGAATCGAGTTCTAAAGACCCGTATAATGCACGAGTAATCCGGTTTGATTTTAGAAATTTTAAAAGTCGAAACTCTTGTCGTTTTAGTTGTCGTGACCGATGTCCAGTTGCGGAGCCGATGGTTCATGGTGCTACAGTGCTTCGTGTTTTAGCTGCAACCTTTACTCTTTCTTTTCCCTTTTTGAGATTGAGTTCAAAGTTTTGAGTTGTGAAATTTGAAACTATTACAATAATTTAGGAAAATGGGAAGTTTCGAATCCGGGATACATGGATAGGAATCCAACACTTTATCCACTAAGATATTAGACCACATGCAAACTTGAGGTATATTTGTGTAACTTTGAAGTAACAAGTTATTGATTTGGATTTCAATGGGGGATTAGACAAAAATATAGAATAAACAGAGGATGTAGATGCACAAGATGAAATTGGTGAAGACAAAGCTGAATTTGTGCTACCAAATACAGAAGATGAGTTAAAACCAAAAGTTAACACATAACAGTATAAGCATTCATAAATTTCAGCAAGTTTTCATCAACGCAACTGATAAACCCAAGTCAATAATATTACTCCAACTCAAACTCAATTTAAAAATATAAACACTGAACACATTATGTCAATAAGTATTCATAAACCTACACAAATCCTAAACAAAGCTTCATGAATTTAGAAAAATTTAGTTCATTTAGAAATCTCAACAAGTTTTCATCAACACAACTCAACCAAGTGAAAAATATAACTTCAACTCAACCCAGTCAACAATATAAACCCTAAACACAACTTGTCAACGAGTATTCATAAACTCACATCAACCCTAAATTTCCACAAATTTAGAAAATTTCATTAATGGGTACTTCTCCCCTTCTAATCTCTCTACCATTCCCTCCCCTCCTACTTGAACTGTTACGATTAAGCCACATTAACGTCTTATATTGTTGATGCACAAAACCGGAGGTCTTGGAACAACGTAAATCCGACCGTGAATCTGCAAGAAACGTAAATAACACAAGATGTATCGTGGTTCACCTCAACATTTGAGCTACGTCCACACTGATATTGTATTTCTCTGAGATGTTGAAGAGGGAGAGAGAGAGCTTCTGAGGGTGAGAGAGCTCTTCTCACTCTGAGAGGTTTGAGGGGATGAGGAGGCTTAAGGATTGGCCTCCCTTAGACCATCTCCAACCCTTGGGCTAAAAGCCAAATTTTTTAGCACGGAAAATTTAGCTTTTAGCCCAGAAACATATTTTCTGCTCCAACCCTTATGCCCTAAAATTTTAGCCCGGAATTATTAAAGAATGAACTTAGGCTAATTTTTTTCTTAAATCAATTTTTTTTAAATAAATAAATATGTAGATTATTGTAAATTAATTTTATGAACATTTTAATCTAAAAAAATTTAAATTCTGATAAACATTTGGCATTTAGCCCGGGGAGAAAGCTGGGGGGGGGGGTATTTGGCCCAGAAATAACATTTGGCATTTAACCTAAAATTTTAACATGGGTTGGAAAGTGTTTGGGGGGTAAGGTTTGGAGATGGTCTTAATGAGGAGAGTGAGGGGTCCTTATATAGAATAACGGCTCATCACTTATTATATATTTGCCCCTTCATTTATTATATAATTACATTTGAGTCCCCCCAATATTTATACGAGATCTAAATACGGAGGCCCTAAGTATGATATAAACATATATAATTTTTTTTATAGAGACAAAAAGACAAAAAACAAAATATGAGAGAAGGGGATGAAAATAGCAACGAAGAGAATCCTACTCTCTAAAAAAAAATGCACTTTTGAGAAGCTTGGTCTCACTTGCTTTTACTTTTATGAGGTTTTTTACCCATGATTTTATTTAAAAAAAAACACTTTTTCTTTCATTTACCAAACGAAATTAATTATTCAACTTTTTCTAAAAGCTGGTTTTTAAAAATTTTAAGCAACCTTAAACAAGCCCTAAATTTGAATATGAAAGTTGTTAGTTGTTAATAGTGGACTTTTATCCTCTAATTTTTTTTATTTTTATTTTTATCAATGTTACTTAATGGATTTGCATCAATTGTTATTTTATTGTGATTTTTAAGTATAAATATGTACTTCTTTATATGTTACATTATAAATTTAATTAAAATAAAAAAATCGCCAGACCCCTCCCCGCCATCTAAGCAATTTTTGGAACATTGGTTTAATTAGTGAAATCCTTATGTTTATCTCATTTAACAGTCTACGAAATGAAAGTTACTTCTTCCAAACGTACATGGTGACCAAACTTTCAAAGTCTAGATGCTAAAACCTTTGTCTTCTATGTGAATCTTGCAAGAAATGATTTACATGGTAGCGACATGGCAGCTCAGTTACACCATAAACTCAACACCTTATATTAACATCCCACGAGGATCCTCAAATCGTGGTCGTTCATCGTATATTATGCGGTCAGTTTTCGTCAGTTACTATTTATATTTAATTTAAAATAAAAGTATTTAAAATGATTTTTGACCACACGATGTACGATGAACGGACACGATTTGAGAATCCCCAAGATCCTCACAAAGAGGATCCTCATTCATTAACATCGACCGCAGTACAGCTGACTTCAGGGCGGCGGAATGATTAGTCTTCGGTCCAATTAAACGTGTTTTGGTCATCGATCATATAGTCCTCAGAAATTTCCTTCCAAGGCAGTGGCAAGCCTTTCAAAGAACAGTAGATGCATTGCTCGTATGAGCAAAGTTTTGTACTTATCTTAAGCAATTCAGATCATAAATTGGCTTTATGTTCGAATTCATGAGTCACGATTCAACGTGGTCCAAGAGGCTGTTTTTCTCAACTACAGTGAATAAAACGTTTGCTCAATCCTTTTGTTCTCATTGACTAGAGAGCTAGATTCAGAAGAGAAAGGTTGAAAACTGGAGATAGAGAATATTGGGATTTCTCTGCATATTGTAAAAAAAGTCTCTCTTGACATATTAGGCCATCTCTAACCGAGGGTTGGCCAGATGGCTCGTTTTAGCCATCTGGCCCTCCAAGATTTCCCAAGATATTAATATTTTAATGAACAGTACATGGCCATATTTGCCTTCGTCTCCAACCGAGGGTCAAAGGGCCAGATGGCTCGTTTTAGCCCTGTCACAAAAAACCGTCTCCAACCGAGGGCCATAGGGCCAAACATAATTTATTATTTAAAAACTACAATTTAAATTCAAATCCAACAGCTAAGTGACGTCAACATGATTTTGTATGTTGTATAAGTTTCATGTTGTTAAATGTTGTTTAAGTTTCATGTTGTTAAATATTGTTTAAGTTTCATGTTGTTAAATATTTTTTTATGTTGTATAATTTGTATGTTGGTTAATGTTATTTAATGTTGTTTCATATTGTTTAATGTTGTTTCATGTTACTTAATTTAATTTAATGTTGTATAAATGGCCTAGGAAGTTATAGGAAAAAAATAGAATTGAAAAAAAATATAAAACAAATTTTGTGAAATAGAAGTTATAGGAAAAAATGGAATTAAAAAAAATATGAAACAAATTTTGTAAAATACAAGTGAAAAAAATATGAAACAAAATTTGATTCATATGAAAAGGAAAAAAAGGGAAAAAAAGAAGTTTAAATTCATATAAAAAAAATGTTAATACAACGGCTACTAGCCGTTATATTCAAAAAATTTCAAACTATTAGTGTCGGTTATAACCGACACTAATAGTAATTAAAAAAAAATTACCTTTGAATAACCATTACTGTCGGTTATAACCGACAATATTAAAAATCCTTCTTTAATGCTGTCGGTTATAACCGACAGCAATGGGAAAACTATAAAAAAAAAATAGACAGCCTGGGGCTGGCTGGCTGGCCGAAAGCAGCTAGCCCTTTGGCCCTTTGGCCCTTTGAAATTCCGTGGGGCCCTCCCAGATTCCCGAGCCCTCTGGCCTAGCCCTCGGTTGGAGACGATTTTAGGGCCATTTTCAGCCCTCTGGCCCTTTGGACCCTTCGGTTAGGCCATCTCTAACCGAGGGCTGGCCAGAGGGCTCGTTTTAGCCCTCTGGCCCTCCAAGATTCTCCAAGATATTAATATTTTAATGAACAGTACATGGCCATATTTGCCTCCGTCTCCAACCGAGGGCCAGATGGCCAGAGGGCTCGTTTTAGCCCTGTCACAAAAAACCGTCTCCACCCGAGGGCCAAAGGGTCATAGGGCCAAACATAATTTATTATTTAAAAACTACAACTTAATTTTATTTAAAAATCATGTTGGTTAGTGTTGTATAATTTTTATGTTGGTTAATGTTATTTAATGTTGTTTCATATTGTTTAATGTTGTTTCATGTTACTTAATTTAATTTAATGTTGTATAATGGGTTAGGAAGTTATAGGAAAAAAATAGAATTTAAAAAAAATATGAAACAAATTTTGTGAAATAGAAGTTATAGGAAAAAAATGGAATTTAAAAAAAAATATGAAACAAATTTTGTAAAATAGAAATTATATGAAAAAAATATGAACCAAATTTTGTAAAATATAAGTTATAGGAAAAAATAGAATTAAAAAAAATTGAAACAAATTTTGTAAAATAGAAGTTATAGGAAGTTATAGAAAAAAATAAGAAAAAAAAAAGGTTTACAACGGCTAGTGGCGCTAGCCGTTGGAAGTTTGAATTCAAATTGTTATTTCTGTCGGTTATAACCAACAGAAATAATATATATTATATTATTTCTGTCCGATAGAAATGAGAAACATTAAAAAAAAAAGCCAGCCCTCCAGCCCTCCAAGCCTCTTCGATCCCGTGGGACCCTCCCAGATTCTCGAGCCCTCTGGCCTAGCCCTCGGTTGGAGACGGTTTTAGGGCTATTTTCGGCCCTCTGGCCCTCTGAACCCTTCGGTTAGAGATGGCCTTAGGAACTTGGGAATTTTTAACCAGATGGTTCCGTTAAGTAGTGATTTTGACCTCAGAAGGAACATTCTCGGCATTGAGTTCTAAATTGCATTGGACTTCCAGACAAGGTTATGCCTTTTGTTACGATGTTCAATTTTTGTACCAGATTCGGCAACTTCAACTATATTTGTGAAAATATAGGTGCACCAAATCGGCATCAGTCTGTAGGGATAAAAATTCTGAAAAGAAATGAGTGTCTTTATGGTGAAAGTGGTTTGGTCATTTGAATGCCAAATTCAGAAATGCACTTGTGAATAAACTGATCATAGAACACCTCATTTCACTGGGAAAGCTGATGAAGTGACCTCCTTCGATGAATGAATCGAAGACTCTTCGCTGATTTAGATTTGGATAGATAACCAACCGAACTAGAAGAAGTTTTGTTTAACCAAACTAAAGGTACTCCTAGACCGACCGTTTCTACAACAACAATGATATTTAACCAAACTGAATATGGCGCCGATTTGTCAACTTAGTGATGTTTAACCAAAATGAATATATATGTGCTACCAGAAGGATAGGTGAAGCAATTAGTACTTTTCTCAAAGTTTGATAGGGTTTCGCGTAGAGAATATATTTGCTTGGCGCGGCCTGGAATCAGACAGAGTCCAAGAGTCCAATTGCAATTCTAACTTTATGGAACATCATCCTGTAGACTCAAACTCTGCTAAAATGACTTGGTGTGACCGATCACTTTGCGTGCAATATCCTTCGGCCATTCACCTAAGGAATTTTCAAAGATAAGACAAGCCTATATTTGAGCTTTCTTGGGTTTCATAGCTAAAACCGTCAACACAATTTCAACCTTTCTTCTACGTGCTAATTACTAACCCATTTTTATCTCATCATTGAGTGAAGAATCTAAAGCTAAGAGTGCTACATGTTGTTTATTTAATATTGGGTTTAGATAATGCACAAGTACATGCATATTTGAACTTCTTGCAGCTCACGACTTTTAATTGGATCAACGCATGCATTGTTTTGATACCATATCAGGGATATGATTTGCATCCCATTTATCTTGCACAAAAAAATATCAAGAAAATTTCAATATACTCAATAAATAATTATCGTGATTCAAAATCACAATATTATTTGTTAACGATAACTGAATGTTATCTTAAAACCATCCAACAGTCTAAAATTTTTGTTCATTCAACAGTTTCAATTGCAAACAGTGAGAAAATTGAATTCCACTAAACATTATAGTTGAGCTGGCTCTCCCTGGTTTACTTTTCCATGCCAACCGGACAGCTTTTATACTCTCTCATTTTCTTACTAGTCCATGAGAAATTCATGAACGGGGACAATGAGCCTCTCGATCACAGTTAAACCCTACTGTCACCATACATTATCCTCATATCTTAATTAACCACCATCATTAGTGCTAGTGCACAGGCATGCCTCCTTATTAGTTGAAACCCTAATTTATTTAATTGCAGCTACTAATGACCACCACCACGCAAAAAAGACAAAGAGGCTTCAATTAATTCCTTGTTTGGCAGGAGATAGAAGTACGCATAAGACGCTTAACTAACTCATGTTTTATCTAATCCTTGTCCTGACCATGACTAATGACTTATAACCTTAACCCTACTTTGGTCTTTTCCACGTACGATATGAGAGGGATGTGAATTTTGTAGCTCCTCACATTTGGCTAGCTAGTGACCATATATAATACCCAAACATTATGGAAAACGAGCCTAAATTTCAAGTATTTATGTGGATCTACATTTCAGACGTTGCATTGCATTATAGTTAATAAATAATGCTCGAGATAATCGTCCACGAGTGATCGACTTTTAATCGGCGTTGTGTTATGAATCTCAATTATATATATGCATCTACGGTTGGGAGTCCTCCACTACTTCGATGACTATCCTAACTCAGGTCTTGTATTATTGTACTTTGTTTAATGTATATTGGTCATCATATCACGTGTATTAGTACTACAAAGCATGTTATATGTATTGCTTTCAATTTAAATGGGGTTATACAATGGCACGTTATGCTGTCTATCCAAGAATGTGACAGTACAGAAGCATTGGAGGGTCCAGCTAAAATCTTTACCTCAGAAGGAGATGGGTACAAAAATTTGGACCACCTTGGCCTAATTGATAAGTTTGAATCATGAAAACGCAAAATCAAAATCACGAACACACAAAGGACACCGATGGTGGCACCTAATTAAGTAAAGGGAGGGGAAATCTATCGAGATTTTGTGTCACGACGTGAAAGGAACAAGAGAAAAGCTCCAAACACAGTGGACATGGAATGAAGGGTAAGACTTATATCAAAGAAAACATTATGAGGTGGGGTTAAGTTTGGCTTCTCTCAACATTTTTCAATTTTTTTTTTCTGCAACAAAGCAGCCTATGCTGCAAAGGGCCAAAGAAGTTCAGTTCATCATGACTCAGGAGATTTTGCGTGAATGGAGAACGTCTGCCATACGAACACTGTTTGAACCGTTAGATCAACATAATTAGCAGTTCAGACAAAGCTCAAATTTTGCATGCATGGCAGAAGTTCCGTTGTCTCATACCTCTCTTGGATCTACAAAGAGAGATTTTGTTGGGTGGGTTCTTGTGAATTCATGGACACTATTAGTTCTTCTATCTTCACTTTTCAAGGCCTTTATGCACCACAAATCTTCATAACATGAGAGCAATTTCCAATGTGGGATGTGATGTCTCACTGGATCACAGCCTCCAACTTCTGTCACTATAACCTTGCAATTCTCGGAAGTGGTAGCAGCCATGTTGTGCACAAACTGGCAGAGAGCCCTCACCAATTTCCCTGACAATGGTCCTTCATGGTGCAACCCATACATGAAGTAAAATCCAAAAGGGATAAAAAAATCAGGCATGGAAGGCAGTAATTTAAAGCAAGGAAAAACCCTAGCCATCCATTTCCAACTTTTTGCATACATTAAGCAAGATAAGGGTGCATTCCCTAGCCTCAGGTTAAAAAGCTCCCCACTATTCCACACACTAAGCATAGCCCAACTTTCAGGTAAATGACCATTTACCCCAAAATCTCTCAACTCTCCTCTAGGGTAAGCCACCCAAGTCCCCAAACTCAGCTTATTCCCAAGCACTTTTTCTATATCATGAGGAAAAAACTCAGTATTTTCCATACACTTTCTGTAGAGATATTCAGCTTCTTCAACCTTCAACTTTGCAATCTCAACGTTGGAAGACACGTGGCGGGGCCTGTAACGAACCGGGTTCACCAGAATCGCCGGCGTCCGGAACCTGATGTAGCCAAACTTTGTTATGAAAAGTCTGACTGACGCAAGGTTATCTTTCTCCGTAGCCATGTATGCATAATCAGCATCATTGTCTATGAACCATTCTTCTAATTTGCTCACAAGGTTTGACCCAATTCCTTTTCTTCTATACAGCGGTGAAACCCTGAGGCCTAAGATGTAGCCAACTTTGGCCTGATCATTAGGTGGTGGCTTGTTGTGATGAACTGTGACCACCTTTATAGAGCCCTGGATGACCCCAACCAACTGGTTGTCCAACTCAGCCACCTATATGAAACAGATCAATCGATAAGATGTATAATTGATTGGAAACTAAAGAAGAATATTATCGAAGAATAAAGAATGAATAGTATTGTTGTAACGTACCAGCATCTTGTGCATCGGACTGCTTCTGATCCTACATATGGGGTCACCCATCGTATCGGTGAAGAGAAACACACGTTCGGATGGCCCTACTTCACATCTTCGTTCGAGATCTTCCACTCTTCCTCTATCCGCCAGCCCGTCATAGCTTCGAATTATAGCCTCCTGAAATCCCATGCCGGAATTTAACCTTGTCGTCCGAGATATGTACGATGATCAGTAATCTTGGAAGCGAAACAAAGGGGAGGTTTGTAGGTTTATAATTCTATACTAAAGAGGGGCCAAAGCCAGATATATGTACCTTCAGGCACAAAAAATGCAGGCTATTTTATCAATCTTGTTTGGCCTGAATAATTTTCCGTAATGATAATCATGGAGGTATTTATATGGAGCTGGGGGCACTTGGAAATGTTCTCTATCCTCAACATCAACCTAGGCCGGATACAAGAATAATATTATATACCAGACAAAAGGGTGTTAAACAAACAAATAGATTGTGTTTTTTTGTCTTTAGCTTTGAATTAAAATAACGGAACAAGTTTCAAGTTCGAATTTTCCTCTTGTCAAAAGAAAATACCAATAAATGAGAAAGTGATATATGGTTGCACGCATGTGCTACTTTGAAAGTTATTCTGTTAACGAATTATAAAAAATTATCACATAAGTTGGTAAGCAAAACTTGATTTCTCTAGAATTATCGTACTTGGAGGGAAATTTTTACGTAAAAGATATTGATATGTCCCACTTCTAATATATATTTAACACAATCTGATAAGGTTCCGAATTAAACATCTTTATACTTACTAATTAAACCTATCAACGTTCTGATAACCTCAGGCTCACCCACTTTTGCACGCCTAAGAAATAAGAGTATTATGTCGTTGGCCGTCCCCGACAGATTAACCTATTGAATTTGCCAAAGTATTGGCTTATTGGGTATAAAATTTAGTACCACTCTTGCCTAATATCATACAGGTAATAGTTACACCACTATGTCACCAACCTCATCGATGCACCGTACAGTCGGCAGGGGCCAATATTTATAGATATACTATAGATAATGTGGATTATATAATTAAATAATTGAAGATGAAATATCACCTAATTAATTAATTGAATTTGTGTCGGCGGGGCTACGTGTACGCTTGTATAAAATTGTTGGTTTGCATGGTATATCATCAGATGATTAATTTAAGTTGTTCAAGGATTATTTTAATTAATTATCAGTTTGGAAAGGAGGAAATGAAATCCCCTTCCAACCACACTAACTTTTTCTCATTTTTGGACTATTTTAACTATGGTTTTTGTTGTATGTGTGCTTGTGGCGTTGTGTGGCTGACAACCTCCATTTTTAAAACACTAAGATTCGGAAGTGTAGTGAAACCCCACTTAAGTCATGCTGAGCTCTCTGCTAATGAAGCAAATATTAATGATAATACTTGCCTAATGCGCCTTAAGTGAGTGGAAATTAAAGAGATTACAAGACAAAATGAGAGATGAAACTAAATTTCTTTGATGAAAGAAAGCTAGGAAATTAAGAATGCGGTGGAAACTGATTAAGAAAAGCACAATTAAGAACTGTGGATCAAATTCAATTATCTCACGATATAGATGATTGTCTAAAAAAAAGTATATGTATTATACTTCTCTCTGAATTGCACGCTGAAGATGGTGTGCCTTGTGAGATTTGCAACAAATTGGGATGTGTATGAGGCCATTAAGCAGAATCCTTTTTACAATCTCACAGAAACCCTAATATAATGACAAAGTAATCATTAAAAATATGTAGAACAGAAACCCTAATAGAAAATAGCACAATCACTTCATAATATTGCACCAAGCACTTACATTCACACAAAAAACAAAATAAAAAATGGCACAATATGCCCTAACCATTGCTATTGTGCTCTTTCCTGCTTCTTTTTTCCATTATTTTGTGGCCCTTTAATCATGTACTTAGTTCCATCCCAACTTACTAATTAACCTTTCTTCCTTAATCATTAGACCTTCCATTAATTTAACTAGAAAAGACACGTTCACCAACAGCAATGTGTACACGTGTGTGTAAGGGCTATGCTTTCCCACCCCACCAGAAAATCACTCTTTGCCCCAACCCACTACCACCAAAGGGGTTGTGATCTTGCCATTACATGTTTTACATGAAAACTGAGGGTCCCTTCTCTAATGATTCAACACTCCACAACAAAGTGCATCTTCCAATTGAAGTCTGCAAATCTCTCTGTGCTTTGTGTTTTTTCTTTCCATGCATTATGTTGTCCCTCTACATATGCTTTTTTTTTCTCAATATAATTGGATGCTTTGCAGCTAGCTAAAAGCATTCCTAAGAGCACTTGAAAGGCCCCCCAGGCTATCCACTATTTAATCTATCCAGTGAATAGTAACTGTCCTTAATGAATACTAACTGCATTTTGCATCTTCATCCCTACACTGAATAGCTCTGACAATAGGCAATAAAATATTAGTATTTTTTTATTTATAAAATAATACAAAATAATTTAATTTGTAATTTCGGATAAAATTTTTAATCGTTCTTGTTGTGCCACGTGTCATTATCCGAAAAGACAATTATTGGTGATGGATTTTGATAAGATTTTTATCCAATACCGTCGTGCCACGTGTCGTTACCTTTTCAGAATCGTTGATGATAGATTTCCAATAAGATTTTTAACCAATCACGTCGCGCCACGTGTCACAATCTGTTTACAATCTTTGATGATAGATTTCGATCAAATTTTTAACGAATGACGGCATGCCACGTGGCATTATCTACAACCTAATCCTTTCTGAATCCTCCATATAATCCACCATCCATCCTCAGAAATCTCACACCAATTTTCTGAAGATCTCTATCATCATTCATAGTTTTTGCTTCCTTCTTACAATGTCTTCTTCTTCAAGGATGATTTGGGAAATCGATCAGCAAAAGGAATAATTGTTTAACCAATAAGAAGAAATATTCAATCTTCAGGTGGCCCAATTAGAAGGAATATTCAATCTTCAGGTGGCCCAAAATGAGAGGGAAGAGGATGAGGAGCGTAGAAGGAGAGATGACGAAGCAAGAATAGGCAAATACTCACATTCCCGTCGAGTCATCCAAGCTGTGGGTTAGATCTGCAGGCCCAACCATTTTGGAAACCTTGAGAGCAGCAGACAACAATGAGGTATGGAACTCTTGGACGATTATTTTGTCTGTAATAGTGCATTCCCTAATACGTACTTTAGACGTCGTTTTAGAAAAGAACGACATTTGTTCAACAAAATCATGATTGCTGTTTGCAACCAAGATTCTTACTTTGTGCACAACGCAACATCTTCAATAAGCGTCCAATTCGTACCTGCATCAGTAGTCATTTTGTTGGAAAAAAATTGGATTGAAACTTTGAGAGAAAGATAGGAATGTGGTTGACAGTAGTTGAGAAAATATGAAATTGTGGTGTAAGGTAGAAGATAATGAGAAGGTATTTATAGAAAAGTAAAATCAATTTTTTTTTCAGATTTTGTTTAATTTTTTATTCACCTAATTAATCTCTACCGTTGGATTTAAAAAAATTTGAATTCCAACACTCTAGATTGTGCCACGTGACACAACGGTAATATTTCTGATTTTTAAACTGTTTATTTTTATTTAATTTATAAAGGCAAATAACGTGGACCGTTGATCTCAGATCCAACAGCTGATATTAAATAAGGTTTTTTTAATTTTGTTTACCGTTGGAAATCCAACGGTCCAGAAATTGTAACCGTTGAAATCCAACGAACATGGGGAAGCCACGTGGCCTCCCTAACGGTAACATTTCCGAGTACGCCGCGGGCTCCAAGCCTAAAATTATGTCGGATGACGCGCGCCCACGCGCGTTTGACGCAAAAAATATATAAAACATGGATGTCGTCGTCCTAACGATGTCCACGTCACATTCCCTTTGGGCTCTCGGCTGACGACTCGTGCCAGGCCTCTCCCTCGGGCTTGCTCGGGCTCGCTCGCCAGCGCACACTGAGCTTCATCACTCGGGCTCTTTGACCCTGTTCCTGCGCCTGTCCCTCGGGCTGGAGCACACAGTGGAAGTACTCTAATATGCCCAATGAGTAGGGAAGGATCCACTTTTTCTTGTGGGGGTCTGGGGAAAGATAATGGGTCTTCTCCAAACTTCACAGTGAGTAGGGAGGGGAATTTGTGATTGGGGAGCGTGGGTTCCTTGATTCTTCTTCAGTATGGATCATGTTGTAAATGAGATACGCATGGAGATCAATTATTTAGTAGTTTGCTAATTGACACTTTAGAGTAATGTTAGGTAGTCCAATTTTTAAACCAAATTGTTTATCATGTGTTGTGTTACTAATAAGAAATAAGCACATTAATTAACATTTAAGTAGTAATCCAATCATCAATAACCACGTCATAAGGTTTACACAATTTGATCTAAATAGTTGGTCTCCTAATATTGCCCGACACTTTATATCTCATACTAAGATTTTCTACAAAAGTATAGATAGAAATGATTATACACGGCTCTAATTCTGTTGTCTCTTGTTTTTACTTACATTTATTCAATTCAAATATTAGAATTAAATAGAAGAGTGTAGCAAAATAAAATTTAGAGCGAAACTTACTTTTCTATTGATATTCATATCAAATTAGATCCACAAGACTAATCTTCTCTAGTAAAGTGTTGAAGATTCACCCCATGTATTGGAAAAAAAAAAATTGTGATTCTTCTATGATATATTTAATTGATACATTAATTGTACATCAGCTTAAATCATTCTCGTGCTAAAAGAAATGTGATTCTCTAAAACTGTTTGGATCAGATTAATATTAATTTTCAAGAAAATACTTTTGAACCCAACTTTTTTTAAAGTTCAATTCTCAAATGTGATTCTCTCACTAGTACAAAAAACAATTTGCGCGATGTAGGTACCTTCGTCATGCAAAGTAAAAAAACGTTTCCTGAAAATTAACCCAACGAAACCTGCATTGCGCGCCAACCGTCGCGCAAATGCAGTGAAAGCAGGGTTTGCGTGATGAAGGTGTTTTCGTCATGCAAAGAGCTTTTGCGCGACGATAGAACCTACATCGTGCAAAGTGTCTTTGCACGATGGAAATAACTTGCGTTGTCGCATAAACCTTTGTTTTATCATTTTATTTTTTGGAAAAAATATTTTTTATTTAATTTTTTTTATAAATATTGTAATTAAATTATAAATAATAATTAATAAACCAAGAAAAGGTATTTAATTATAAAATATATGAAAATGTATATACAAGATGTCCGAACATAAAAGAAAAAACTACAACAAGTAGTCTTATAGGTTTGATACATCAGGCTACTGGGTATCGGCTGGGCGAAATGGCTAGGAGGTCGAAGGTGGAGCAAGATCAGGTGTTGGCATCACGATTTGGAGGCCGGACATCTATAAGGCTCGTACAATCATACTCATCTGCTCACCCTGGGTTGCAAACACTACTACAATATTAGCTTTAAGTGTCAGATGATGGTGGCGGTTAACGAGTCATTTTGTCAGATAAAAGATTTCCGACACATACTTTAGTGAGTGTCGGATAAAAGTACATTTCTGTCGTATATAACCGACAGAAATTACTGTCGGATATTTACTGTCGGTTACCACTGACACAAAATATTCATAACCGTCAGGAATTTTGAATTTTTTTTTTAAATAATTTTTTTATATATTTTGGCGGTTTGGAAGTTAATGGTGTCGGTTATAAACCGACAGAAAGTTACTAGTTTATTATTTTAGCATTCTAGCCGTTATTATGAATTTTCTGTCGGTTAAAACCGACAGAAATTTAATAGTTTATTATTTTTATTCTCTCCTTCATCTTCAACCCGCAAGTTCATCTTCAAAAGTTTTTCAATTTCAGATTTCATTCTCTTCTTCATCTTCAACCTGCAATCTTCATCTTCAATCTTCAATCATTTTCTACTCTTCATCATCAATCTTTTTGTTTTCTTCATCTCATCTCACAATAAGTTTTTCATTTCTTTTACTTTCATACTGTTTATTTATTTCTTCATCAAGCAGTTCACCTTATTCTTCTCTTTATCTCATAGTAAGTTTTTCATTTTCTTTTGCTTCCATACTTTTATCTTCTATTTGTTTCTTCATCAAGCACTTCATGGCTTATTTTTATTTTATGATTTGATTTTGCAGGAGCTTTATTTAGGTGGTTGACTACATAAAGAGTAGATCGACGATATAATTCTTCAACAGTTCAGGTTTTATTACTGAACTTCTTTGATGTTTAAATTGTTTGTTTAACTAGTAAGATAAATTAGGAATATTTGTGTTCCATTACCTTATTTGATTATTTATTTAGAGATTTTAATTTAATTAGTAATATAAATTAGGAATATTTGTGTTCCATTACTTTATTTGATTTACTTAAATTGTTATAAAGAAATTGAGATAAATATTATTTGTAAATATTTATGTTAAATTGACAATATTTAATATAGCATAAATTGGTAATATTTAGTAATATAGGTATATATTATGTTAACTAATTAAATATTACACTCTAATTGCTATGAGGATATACAAAACTTAAATTTAATAAATAATAAAGAGTGTAGATAAACATATTTTTGTTAACCTTTTATTGTTTTTTTAATTTGTTTTACTGTGATAGGTGTTGGAAATTAAATTGCAATTGTGATAGTTCGAGGTGAAAGATAGGGATTGGAATTTCTAATAGTTATGCCTACATGATAAGGATTGCAAGATTGTAGGCATCTTAGTTTCAACGTAATATTTGCTCCCGTACAGTAGTAAAACATGGAAAAGAGTTGGCTGACAATATCGCGAAATTTGGAAGCGTATACAGATGGAATTAATTTGTTTTTGGATCAAGCAGTTGCGAATGGTGTTGGCCCCGATAAGTTTAGATGTCCTTACAAAAGATGTTGTAATCGATATACTTTTGTTAGAAAAACTATTGTCGAACATCTTGTGTTGTATGATATGGATAAAGATTACAAAAATGCTTCGTGGCGACATCATGGGGAATCTTTCATGGGAGAGCAAAATATTGGGATTGGAGAAGAAGGTGTTGGGCCATCTATTGAAACAGGAGATCAGTTGACTGGTATTCATGATGTTCTTAATGATGTATTTGTTCAACCATTAACGGAAGAAGGTATTGGGCCGTCTACTGAGCCCCTTTCTAAGGAAGGGCGTCCGAAAGAGGTCGAGACTTTTTTTAAGTTGCTTGAAGAGGCAGATCAGGATTTGTGGCCAGGTTGTAAGGAATTTAAAAAATTGGAGGCAGTTGTAAGATTGTATCAGATTAAGTGTTTAGCAAGAATGCCGGACGGGATCTTCACTACGTTACTCGAGTTAATTAAAAAAATGTTGCCTGATGGAGATTGTTTGCCTGAATCTTGTTATAAGGCAAAAAAACTTATAAATGACTTGGGTCTTACGTATGTGAAGATTGATGCGTGTCCCAATAATTGCATGATTTATTGGAAAGAAACTGCAGAGTTGACCGCATGCTCAGTTTGTGGTGAATCAAGATATAAAAATGTCAATGAAGTGGATGGCTCTAGAAAAAAAATCGCAGCTAAGGTTATGTGGTATTTTCCTTTAAAACCACGATTGCAGCGGTTGTATATGTCGAAGCATACGGCTGAGCATATGAGGTGGCACGCAACTGAATGTCCTAAGGATGGGTTTATGAGACATCCTTTAGATTTTCCAACATGGAAGCATTTGGATAATTTATATCCGTAGTTTGGATCAGAAATTCGAAATGTTCGATTGGGGTTGGCCAGTGATGGATTTAATCCTTTTGGAAAAATGAGGCAAGACCATAGCACATGGCCTGTGGTGCTTTCAGTTTACAATTTACCTCCCTGGATGTGTATGAAGCAACCGAATTTGTTGTTGTCTCTGTTAATACCAGGACCACGCAGCCTCGGTAAAGAGATTGATGTGTACATGCGTCTATTGATTGATGAGTTGAATGAGTTGTGGGAGGTGGGCACTCCTACTTATGATGCGTATTCTAACCAAAATTTTACGATGAAGGCTGCCGTCTTATGGACTATAAGTGATTTTCCGGCTTATGGAATGTTATCAGGATGGAGTACACATGGATATAAAGCATGTCCACATTGCATGCATGATAAAGAATCTATTTACTTGCCGGCGAGTCGTAAGATTTGCTATTTAGGGCATCGACGCTTTATTCCTGCTGATCATAGGTTTCGAAGGAAAACCACGATTTTTAATGGTCGACGAGAGCATCGTAGTGCACCAAGGCAGTGGACTGGTTTACAATGTCTTGAAGAACTTTGTACTTTGAGATTTACTTTTGGAAAACCAAAGAAACATACTTCAGTTGGGCAACGTAGAAAACGAACTGAGAGCAGTACAAGTAGTAAGAGTCAGTGGAAGAAGAAATCTATTTTTTATGAACTACCTTATTGGAGGCATATGTTGATTAGACACAATCTTGATGTTATGCATATTGAAAAAAATATATGTGACAATATAGTGGGAACATTGTTAGATATGGATAAAAAGTCTAAGGATGGATTGGCTGCACGTGCAGATCTTGAAATCTTGAACATAAGACATGGACAACATCCACGTAGGGAAGGAAATAGAACATTTCGACCTCCAACATTGTTCACGTTGAAAAGAGAAGAAAAAACTGCATTTTGTGAAGTGTTGTCTACTATTCGGGTTCCTGATGGTTATTCATCAAATTTGTCACAATGTGTGCATGTGAATGAACGAAAAATACATGGATTGAAAAGCCACGATTGCCATGTTTTAATGCAGCAGTTACTTCCGCTTGCAATACGTGCGGTTTTGCCTAAATCTGTTACTATGATATTATTAGAGTTGAGTGCAATTTTCAGACAATTGTGTAGCAAAAAGGAGTCCGAGGAAGGTTTCAAGCAATTAAATTCAAGAATTGCCTTGACATTATGTCAATTGGAGAAGATATTCCCGCCTGCATTTTTTACTGTAATGATGCACCTCCCAGTTCACTTGGCAGATGAAACAGCTATTGCAGGGCCTGTTCCATATAGATGGATGTATCCAATTGAACGGTAATTAACAAATCTTTATAAAATTTGTTAATTTATAATGATAATTTTATTAGTAATTATAATAATTTGTGTTTTGTATTATAATTATAGGTATTTGCAAACACTGAAGCGTTATGTTCGTAATATGGGTCATCCTGAAGGTTCTATTGCTGAAGCATATTTGGTGGATGAGTGTTTGTCCTTTTGTTCCTTGTATCTTAGAGATGTCGAGTCTCGTCGCACTCGTAGAGGTCGAAATGAAGATGGTATTGGACGTGGAGTATCTGGTGGGTTATCAATTTTTCACTCCAAAGGATGTTATATGGGTTCAGGAGAAAATGTGGAGCTTGAGTTAAATGTTCTTGATCAATGCCACAGATACATTCTAAATAATTGTGATGAGGTCAGCCCATTTAGAAGGTAAGAACATCTAGTCATACATCTTAATGTTTTATCAATTTTCTTTATTTTGAAAAATTAGTTAAGCATATTTGAACCTGATTGGCTAGGCAACATGAGGAATTCTTGAAAAATCAACATCGTCGAGCAAGGCTGACAATGCGACAAATCAAGGAACTAAGCAAGAAGGAATTTCCAGAATGGTTCAGGCAACATGTGAGTTAATATAACAGTCACATTATTACTTTTTTTATATTTTAATTATGATGTGTTTATATTTGTCGTGTCAACTTATATGCTTTTACTTACTACAGATTAATTCAAGATGTCATGCTAATGACAACTTGATGTCTGAAGACTTGTGTTGGCTAGCCAATTATCCTAGTAGGGTTGTGACGAAATATAAAAGTCACATTATTCATGGGTTCAGATTTCGTACAAAATCTGTGGACGATAAACATAAGAATCAAAATTGTGGTGTCTTTGTACCTGCAAATGTCCCTGGTGCAATTGGGCAAGTGAATTGTTATGGCAGAGTCATAGACATGTTTGAGGTTAGATATTGTGGCCCTACCGAGGCAGGAGACAGGGGTCGAGCTGTGATGTTGTTTAAGTGCGAATGGGTTAATAGTGAAAGTCCAAGAGGTATGAAGACTGATCAATATGGATTTACTTTAGTAAACTTCAATCGATTGGGATTTAAAGAGGATCCTTTCATATTAGCTTCACAAGCATTACAAGCATTTTATGTGGAGGACACAATTGAAAAAGATTGGCATGTTGTTGTTCGAACGCAACCGAGAGATTTATTTGACGTATTGGAGGATAATGATGCTCTTGATGATTATGCCATACCTGATTTGGATGATCGTTTACTTGACAATGAAAATTTGCAAACAAGGGTTGGTGTGGAAGAGACTCATTTTCACGAAGTATTACCGTTGCCTACCCAGTTCCCTGATTTTGTCAATGCCGCCGATGACCTAACAGAAGATGAAATGGAATAGTTTTATAATTTACTTTATGCTTTTTAAGTAATAATTAGACTATATTTAAATTTTTGTGGTGATTTTTATTTAAAATATTTTAGTTTATGTGGTAAAATTTAAAATGTTATTGAAAAACACAAGGTTTCTTTTTTTTTTGTGTGGTGATTTTCATTTAAAATATTTTAGTTTATGTGGTAAAATTTAAAATGTTATTGAAAAACACATAGTTTCATTTTTTTTTTTACTCATGTCCTTGTCGGATAAAACCGACAGTCAAAGAAAAAAAAATTTGGGCTGGATTTTTCCCGCGCATTTGACTCAAAAAAATTAAAGGCGCACAAACATCGACGGAGGAAAAATTTGTGGCGGTTTTTGGAGTTTTGTGTCGGCTAATACCGACACTAATCTGACCTTCTTCAATGCGTGCTCTGACATTTATATATCTGCCATCTGACTTTCATAAATGCGCCGTCTGACATAGTCTGTCGGATTTTTATTTACTGGCGGATGTAACCGACACAATGTTGAAAATATCTGTCGTATTGAAATTTCCTGGCGGCTATAACCGCCAATATTTGTTAACCTCATTTATTTCTCATTTTTACTTAGGCCGACTTCGTTGTCTCGTTTTCACCTCTCCTTCCCGTTTTCACTATGTTCCTGTTCTTCTTCCCTTTCTCACCTTTTTTACTCCTACCCATTTTTACTCTGTTCTTCTTCCCTTTCTCACCTTTCTCACCGACATCCTTTTTTCACACCTGCCCATTTTTACTCCTCTTCCCTGTTGCATGGAGGAACAAAGTGAACGTAGGACCCGCGGAGCTGCTATTCCAAAGTGGAAAGAGAGACAACTTTGTCTATTTGATTCGACAGGGAAATGTGTTAGTGAAAATGCCGTTGAGTTTTCGAAATTAGTAGCTTCAGAGGTTAAGGATCCAAGATTTATTCCATTGAAGAAGGATTGGAGGTTGGTACCTGAAGATGTTAAGGATGTTTTGTGGGAAAGAATTAAGGTATATGTTTTCGTTCATACTTCTATAGTTCAACCCTATATTTCGGATTTGTTGTAACATGTTTGTTTTTATTAATGTAGGGGTATATCATTTTTCTAGATGAAGACTTGGATAGAATTCCAATGATTCGTAATATGACCCTCCATGTTGCAGATCATGCTTACAAGGAGTACCGTAACAATTTGAAAGCAGAGTATTACACCAAAAGACAAGGGGAAGATCGCTTAGAACCTCCCCCTGGTGTGGATGGTGGTCAGTGGGCTGAGATGTTAGCGTATTGGGATGATAAAAAAACAAAGGTAAAAAGCTATGATCAGTTTTTTGGTGTTGTAATGTTGTCTTCTAAATTTTTTTTTTTGAACTCTCAGGAGGTGGCAGAGAAAAACAAGTACAATCGGGAGTTAAAAACGATGAACCGCACGACTGGTTCAAAAACGTTTGCTCGCATCCGTGAGGAACTTGTAAGATTTGCTAATTTGTTACATATGTTGTGTATTTAATTTTTTGTATATAAACTGGGGTTAATATGTATTTTGATGTTCTCTTTTCACGGATTTAAAGAAGAGAAAGCATGGGAAGGAGCCGGATCCAATATCTTTTTTTCGAGCAACTCATACCCGGAAAGACGACTCATGGGTTGATGAATCCTCGCAACAGAGAGGGGTGAGTGATTTATAACTCTATTTGAATTATTTTTGCATTTGTTAGAACACATTAATAAGAATTAGAATCTCTTTTTTATTTCAAATCTGTTTGGATTGATGAATCTGTTTTGAAGATTCTAATTTATTTTTCGATAATAATTTTTTATTATTTTGTTTAAATATTGTATTGAAAGACATCAATGGAGAGTCAAATTCAGTCTGTTGTCGAGTCTGGGGAAAAGGACACGTCGGAGGTACGAACACAGATTTATGTTGAGCAGATGGGTTTTGAGACAAGGAATAAGGTACGAGGCTATGGTCATGGGGTGATACCAGAGATGGTGTCATATGCAAGCTCTTCAGGTTCCAGGTCATCCAGGAGTTCATCCAAAGGTGCATTTGCCAAGGTGGTAGCTGAGAACAATGAATTGAGGAGGAGGGGGGAAGAAGCCGCCAGAAAGTTAGCAGAGGCAACGGTTAAGCTCGAGAAAACAAAGACCTCGCAGCAGCAGGCAATGAATCAGCAGATGCTGATGAATCAACATCAAATAATGTTGTGGCTTCACAGCATTCGGCCACCACCCAGCCTTCAGGCATCACAGCATTCGGCCCCAATGCAGCCACCTGCGCCTGTATATCCCATGCAACATATGCCTTTTCAGCCCCAGTATCCAATGTCAGTATATCGACCCCAGATGACTTCTCCAGGTGGCGCACATATTTCTCAAGGTGGTTTCAATGGTGGATTATCATCGGGTTTCTTATCTGGGTTGATGATGGGTAGTTTTGATGAGGATGTGATGAGGTATTTGGAAGCACATGGGTTGGCAGAAGGTTTTGGATCACAGGGAGCATCGGCAGAAGGCGTTGGTTCGCAAGGAGGGTCGGCAGAAGGCGTTGGTTCGCAAGGAGGGTCGGCAGAAGGCTTTGGAGCGCAGGGTGGTTTGGGGGAAGGCTCGGGATCTATTGAATAGTTTGTTGGTTTTCATTACGGTTATGTCTGACACTTTTGTCTACTTTGACAAATGTTTTTTGTGTAGTTATGTAATATGGCGGATGCAGATGACTGGAGTTTAGGTTATTTTATATTTGTCGTCTACTTTATGTGTTATGGCGGATTCAAATGACATTATCGAACGTTATATTTGAATGCATATTACGTTTTGTTATGAGCTTTTGTTTATTTTATTCATTTAGTGAATTTTTTTATTCATTCAGAAATAAAAAATTATTCATTTACCTAATTTATTTTTTATTTATTCAGAAAAAAAAGAGTTGCGTATGTTTCGTTATTTAAGAATATTTTTCTGTCGGTTGTGACCGACGGTAAATTGTATATTTTTAATTTTTAAAAATGTGAATCCGACAATAATTATTGTCGGTTTCTACCGACAGAAATTAAGAAATTAATAATATCCGACAGTAATTTATTATATATTGTTGAATATAACCGTCAGAATGGCTGTCGGTTTTCATGAAATTTCTGTCGGAAAATTTATTTCCTGACGCTGGCAATTCTGTCGGTTAGTATATCCGCCACTGCACCTAGTTTCTGTCGGATTTTTTATAATATCCGACAGTAAGAGTTGTTTTTTGTCGGTTATAATAACGACATTATTAAACGGTTTTGTAGTAGTGAAACTGACCTTTTAGGGTTGCCATTTCCTCTGTCAGGGCGTTGACCTGTCCTGTGACCGATCTAGAAGAGGAGGCACCCGTCTCACGAACCAGCACCTTCCCCAACATTGCGCGATGAAGGTGTGCATTCGTCGGGCGAAGCTGTTTTATGCGACGTCTGTCTTCGTCGCGCAAAGTTACGTTGCACAAAAGGGTTTTGTGTGACGTTTTGTTGTCACCGTTGTGTAAACATACTTTGCGAGACGCAATTTGCTCCGTTGCACAAGTTGCCGTTACGCAAGTATGTTTTTGTACTAGTGTCTTATGATCTATTTAATTGATACGTTAGTTGTACATCAACTTAAATCATTCTCGTGCTAGCTAAAAGAAATGTGATTCTCTAAAACTCTTTGGATCAGACTAATATTATTTATCAAGAAAAATACTTTTGAACCCAACTTTTTTTAAAGTTCAATTCTCTAAAACTGTCAGTGAACGCAACTAAATTGTCCCTAATATATTATAGCATATACATGTAGAACTTATTCCATACGAGGAGTGTTTGGGAAAAAAAATGTTGAGAACAACATTATAATCTATATCTTCCTTTAAAGATTAAGGATGTTGTAGCATTTACTTCTTAGTATGTTCTAAAAGAGTTGACAGCCCCCTTACTTATCATTATCCATATCTCCACATCCAAAACCCTAGATGCCATAATTATACAATTCGTTGCTCGAGGGCCAAGTTCCTAACTCTAATCAAGATATTGAAACGTGGATACATAATAGTGTGACAGATAACCGATGGCCAATTGTTTGCATGTTCATTGGACGTGTCCACAGTTGGTGCACATACAGAATGAGAATTCTTAGATGGGATCGATGTTTTTGGCAGAAAAAAAATAGGATGGTGAAGCTTGATGTGTTAATAGGATTGGTACATGACTCATTAGGCAACACGATGACCTACGTAATTACAACATCAAGTTAGTACGCAATCCCTACCTTTGATGACCACACAAAACGAAAGAGACTCTTGATGTGTGACTGTAATAACGTTACACCAACTCGTAGTGTCATCCGATTCATTCATAATATAATAATCCAAAAAATATTATATTTTGATATGAACTTGTCTTCTCATCTAATTATATTATGAGCAAACTTATGACATCACGTGACAATATTACTAATGCTAATTAAAAACTTTTCGTAAAAAAAATCACAATGAAGACTATTTTTTTTTTGTTGAGTTTATAGCTAAAATGTTCCTTGAGATTGTCATAACTTTTCACTTTAGTCTTTGAGATTTAAAATCGATAGAAGTGGTCTCTAAGATGATCCACCGTCAATCCTTTTGGTCCTTATGTGACAAATTTTTGTTAAATTGAAAAAACCACCAATTCAAGTGGAGGGATTGATCTGAAAAAAAACCCCCTCAATTTAAGGAAAATTTTCACGGACGAACCAAAATAATTAACGGTGGATAATCTCAAGAGCCACTTTTATCGTTTTTAAATCTCAAAGACCAAAGTAAGAAGTTATGCTAATCTTAGAGGTTATTTTGGCTAAAAAAACCTTTGTTTTTGCCCTCTTTTTGGCTGATTATATGAAAATTATCTATTTTGTCTAATTCACCAAACAAACCTTTAGTGGTAAATATATGATCTCTTTTTAGTCATATAAAATAATGTGTCACTGTGGGTGTTCATAGTACAAGAGCACTGAGAGTTATGTGATAT